TTTGGATGCTTGCAGAAAATGGTAAATTTACTATTGCTTCTGCATGGGAGATTATCAGGAAGAAAAAGGGCAAAGATCCAGTTAACAATATGATTTGGCATAAACAAATTCCTTTCAAATTGGCCTTCTTTATTTGGAGAGCTTTGAGAGGCAAATTGCCTACAAATGAAAACCTGTTGAAATTTGGAAGAGCTGCAGAAGAGTGTTGTTGCTGCTATAAGAAAGGGAGAGATGACACTACTCATATATTAATTACAGGAAATTTTGCTAAATATATTTGGAAGTATCATGCATCAACAGTTGGTGTTATACAACTCAATATAAATCTGAGAAGTCAGCTTATACAATGGGGGAATCTTCATAGCCACAATGAGGTACATAAATTACTAATTCATATTTTACCTAATTTTATTTGCTGGAATCTTTGGAAAAACAGGTGTGCTGTGAAATATGGAGGCAAATAATCAAGCATCCAAAGAGTTCAATATGGTATCTTTAAAGATATTATGCAAGTTATTAAAAGAGAGTATCCTAGTATACCATGGCAACACAATTGGGACAGCTTGATTAATACTGTGGATCAATGCAAACAGCAGTATAAAGTTACAATGTTACAATGGAATACACCAGCTGAAGGCATCTATAAGCTCAATACTAATGGGAGTGCACTACAGGATTCCGGAAAAATTGGTGGTGGAGGTATTTTGAGGGATCACCAAGGTATTCTTATTTATGCATTTCCATTACCTTTTGGATTGGGAACTAACAATTTTGCAGAGTTAAAAGGTTGTTCTTTATGGGCTGGATTGGTGTGAACAACATGGATATAAACGTATTGAATTGGAAGTTGATTCAGAGCTTGTAAACAAATGGATTAACAAGAAGACTAACATTCCTTGGAAATACCACCAAACAGTTCAAGGAATCCTGCAAATAGGAAGAAAAATGGAACATTTTCAGTGTCAACACATATATAGAGAGGCAAATACTATAGCAGATTTGTTAGCCAAATTCAGCCATTCTTTAGACATACCACAACACTATTATGTTACTCATCAGCTTAAAGGAACAATTAGAGGGAGCTATATACTAGAAAAAATGGGTATACACAATTTCAGGAGAAGGAAAATCAAGAGAATCAAGCATCCTCCTTAAACTTGAAGGCTGCAAAAGATAGTCAATGGACACAATTGGCATTCATTCCTACTATGTAACTAGAAGTTAGTTATTAGTATAGGTTTGTTCTTAATCATTTATATACATTGTAAAGGGAGAGTCTCCCTAATTCATGCTTTCTTAGAAAATGTATTAAGAGAGGAGTCCTCTCTAGGTATTATATTTCTATAGAAGTGCATCTTATTGTATTAGGTAAATTGAATTATCTTAGAAGATAAAGCAATTTCACCTATCAAAATTAGAAGGTAAGGTTTATGTCCCCCTTCATGTAACATTTGATTTTATGAATGTTAAGTCCTGGGGTGTTGCTAAGCCCCTGACCCGCTACAAGGGTCGTTCAACTAAAAAAAACCCTAAACCCTAAACCCTAAACCCTAAACCCTAAACCCTAAACTCTAAACTCTAAACCCATCGCTTTTTCATTTCTCAAACTTTTTTCTCTCTCTAAAATTTTCTCTCTCTAAAAATTTTTTCTCTCTCTAGACATTTCTCAAGAATTCTTGTGTTTATCGCTGATAATCAGAGAATTTGATTAGCAAAACGTGTTTGGAATGGTTGGTAATCCGGTGGATGAGCATTTTCGACCTCCAGATCCACCGTTAGGAGAGGAGGTATCGAATGTTCAATCGAAAATGAATGAAATGGCGGACGGAGCATCATCTTCCTCTTCGCACTTGAGGGAAGAAGCGATCCAAGTCGCGACTATAGAGGCGGAGATGGATGAGTTTCGTCATCATCGCGAAATAGATCGAAATCTGACTTCACAGGTTGTCGACATACAAATGGCGGATAATTTGCAACAATTGGTAACTGGTGTGTCACAAAGGAGAGGGGTGGAGAACGTACAGGCGATTGGAACAGAGAAATTGAGTTCGATGGAGGCGGCGATAGAAATTGCATCGGAGAAGTCGAGTTCGATGGAGGCGGGGCAATCCAGTTCTAGGGTTAATCGAACGGATAATTCGCAACAAAAATCAATTACTGATGGTATTCAACCACCTGTGAATTACGATGGTCAAAAGGGTATTCAATCGACTCAAATTCAACAACGAACTGATAATTCTCACAAGAATTCAGAAATATATCAACAACAACAACAAATTGATTCTACAAATATAAGAAACACAAATTCGAGAACAACAGCTATTCAGCAGACCCAAAATAGGCAAAATATTGGGAGTTCTTCTGAGCTACTGGATCAAGGTAACATTACTATCAATACTACCAATTATGATGTGCAAGAAATTGGTAGATTGAATGTAGAATCCGTTAGGACTGAAAATGTTGTTAGAAATCAGAACTACCAACATAATTTTCCTAAGATCTCTTCCAATTTTGATCGAAATGTAAATAGGAATTTGGTTGATAAGAGGGATTATCCTGTAGGCAATACTGATTCCTTACCTAAGAAAGACCAAATTCAAGAGCCTGCCCCTTATACAGTGATTCAAACCTATGCTGATCGATTAAGGTATAATCAATCCAAAAAGGGTGTAAGTATTAAACTAACAGAACCTGAGATCACAACCAAACAAGGCTTACCTGCTGTATTATATGTAAAAGATGAAGTGGTGAAAGATTTAGCTTCAACATATAGATTTACACTCATTGGGAAATTTATATACACAATGCCTAGGGTAGAATTAATAAGGAAAAACTTCATATTACAAACTCAATTAGCAGGGGGGTGAAAATAGCTCACTTCAATTCCAGGCATGTCTATATAGACTTAGATAATGAGTTGGATTATAACATGGTGTGGACTAAACAAAGAATGAATATAGCTGGACAAGTCATGAGGATACAGGCTTGGACTCCAACTTTTAAGCCTGAGGAAGAGACACCTCTTGTACCCATTTGGATATCACTACCTGAGCTGCCTTGGCATTGTTATAACAAAGAATTTATTACTAGTCTTCTTTCACCATTTGGTAGGGTGTTGTATCTAGATTCTGCATCTATTAACAAGACTAGAGGAAGTCAGGCTAGGGTTAAAGTACAGGTTGATTTAACAAAGGAAAGACCATCACACATTTGGATGGGATATATTGGAGAAGACATTACTGATGGTAGATGGCAAAAGGTTGATTATGACAACATTCCAGACTATTGCTTTTACTGTAAGCATCAAGGGCATAAGGAGGATGCTTGTATAATTAAGCAAAGGGATATAGAGAATAAAAAAAGGAAGGAACTGGAAAAAAATAGGGCTGGCAAGGATAATATTCAAAATGCTAATGCTGAAAAACAGGTTGGAAAAAGTATGGATACTGGTAGAAGAGACATGGATCATAATCAATCAGGGCAACAAGTTCAAGGAAATCAGCAACAGATGACACAAGATGAATGGCATACACAAAGAAGAAGAAATGCCACTCAACAAGTCAGATTTATTACTGATAGATCAGTAGTTCAACAGCCTCAAATGCAGACAGGTATTGTTTCTATTCCTACACACAACACTTACATTGATTTAGAAGTGCAGGAATTCAATACTTTGGGAGAAGAAGTGGAGGATCAATCAGTACAATTACAAGAGCCTAGCCCTCAGAATACTGTTGAAACAACTCAACAATCAAAAAGACAGGTTGACAAAACAGGATCTAAGGACAAGGAAGAGCACAATAACTTTCAACAAAGAATGGAACCACAAACAATTAGTACTGATCAGACTAGACAACATCAAAGGAAGATAAATACTTCATTGCAGGACATTACAGTTGGAGAAGGAAGATTGGAGAATCAAACTGAACAAGCACAGGTTAATAGGTCACAACATAGTGATACTCCTAACAGGCAATCACAAATCCAAGAACACACTGCAGGTAACCAAGATCACAGAGAACCAAGGTATACACAACATAGAAACACTATACAATTGTCCAGGACTGTACAAGATAGCTATCAACAAATTCATTCAAGCAACACAGGTATTGACTCAATGCTCCCCTCCCTTACACCCCTTAATATTGTTGATAATACTGCTGGTGTAGCTGTTGGAGGTAAGGATGGAAGTGGTCAGGAGTTTAATGTAATTAAAGCTTATAAAATTGATAAAGGAAAAGATAAAATTGGTGAACATGTGTCTTTAGATGATATTGATAAAGTTCCTCCTGATAAATTAACCAATCTTTCTCAAATTAGTCATAAAAGTAGTAATCCCAAAATTTCTAATATTGGCAATGATCCTAGTAGTTACCAAAGGAATATTGATGACTATAGGGAACCTGATTCTGAGGATGAGTATGATGGTGATACTCAATCCTTAGTGGATGGCATTGATCCACGGGAGAAAATGGGTACTTCTTACCAAGTTCAAACTGGCCCTTTGTTGCATACCTCTGATGTGAATGAAATCAGAGATGTTGCAGGCAAACAAGGCCTTTCTCCAAGGGGTAGAAAATTGTTGAAACAGAGTAAAACCAATAGTTTAAGTAGACCTAATACTAGAGCCAGAAGTAGAGGATTTTGATGATCAAAATGCTTCGTTGGAATGCTAGAAGCATTAATACTTTTGGTGTTCTTGAAAGGTTGATTAATCTGAGGAAAATTCATAATATGGCTATGATTGCTATTTTGGAACCTTTTTCTAACCCCACTCAACTAGACTTTTATAGAATGAAGATAGGTATGGATCATGGGCATAGTAATCCTAATAACAAAATATGGCTCTTTTGGTCAAATGAAGTAGTTTGTAAGATATTGGATAGTGATCAGCAACAGATTACCTGTGAAGTAAACCATGAAAGCTGTAGTGAACCTTTTTTAATGACTTATTTTATGCAAAATGTAGAGATCAGCTAAGAAAACCTCTTTGGGATAGTATGTTGAAATGGTCTGCAACAGTTTACCCTTGGTGTATCCTTGGAGATTTTAATGTTATATCTTCTGCTCAGGAGAAGCTGGGAGGCAGAGAATATAATATTAGGAAGAGTTTAGAATTTATCAACATTATTGATTCTTGTGGACTGATAGATATGGGGTATAATGGTCAGCCTTATACATGGTGTAACCATAGGAATAATGGAGATATGATTTGGAAAAGGCTAGATAGAGGAATGGTTAATGATAAATGGTTGGATATAATGCCTCATACCAATGTTACTCATCTTCCTAGTGTGGGATCTGATCACTCCCCTCTCTTGTTGGAAATGATTGATCATAAAGGCACTGTGATTAAGTATTTTAAGTTTCTCAATTGTTGGACTGAGAATGACACATTCTTACATACTGTTGAAAATTGTTGGAATAAGAAAGTTACTGGCAACCCCATGTGGATCTTACATACAAAACTGAAAAGGTTAACTAAGACTTTAAGAGATTGGTCTAAGAAGGAATATGGGGATGTTTTTGAAAAAGTAAAGTTTTATGAAGAGAGTGTTAAAATTGCAGAAGGAAATTATATTAGAGATAGTAGTAGGGATAATAGAGAACAGCTCTATGCTCTTAATGCTCAATACATCAAATACTTGAAGATAGAACATGCCATTCTTCAACAGAAAACTCATCTTCATTGGCTTAAAGAAGGTGATGCAAACTCCAAATACTTCCATGCTAATATTAGAGGAAAGAGGAAGAAAATGGTAATTCACAAATTATTGAATGATAATGGTAGTTGGATTCAAGGGGATGAAGTTATTGCTAGAGAGGCCTGTAATTATTACCAAAATATTTTTACAGGAAAATCTGTTAAAATCAATGAAGATCAATTACAGTGTATTCCTAAGATGGTTACTGTGGAACAAAATCATGATCTGGAAAGAATGCCTAATATTGATGAATTGAGAAATGTAGTTATGAATATGAACCCTCATTCTGCACCTGGACCTGATGGTATTGGAGGCAAGTTTTATCAAACTTGCTTTGATATTATAAAAGATGATCTTCTAGCTGCAGTACAGGCTTTTCTCAATGGTCATGACATGCCTAAATATATGACCCATGCTTGTCTAATCCTTCTTCCTAAAGTGGATAATCCTAACAAAATGAAAGAGTTTAGACCTATTAGTCTTAGTAATTTTACTAACAAAATCATTTCTAAGATTATGAGTACTAGGCTAGCTCCTATTTTACCATTACTCATCTCTGAAAATCAGTCTGGTTTTGTTAAAGGAAGAAGTATATCTGAGAATGTGATGTTGGCTCAGGAAATTATTCATGGTATTAAACTACCTAAAGAAGGGAAGAATGTGGTTCTCAAGTTGGATATGGTTAAGGCTTATGACAGAGTTTCTTGGAGTTATACATGCCTGGTACTGAGAAAAATGGGGTTTGGAGAATTATTTATTGACAGGGTATGGAGAATAATGAACAATAATTGGTATTCAGTGGTGATCAATGGAAGAAGGCATGGTTTCTTCCATTCTACTAGAGGTTTGAAGCAAGGGGATCCCTTATCTCCAGCACTTTTTATTCTAGGTGCTGAATTATTTTCAAGAAAGCTTAACCTTTTATATCATAATCAGAATTATATTGGTTTCCAGATGGACAGCAATGGGCCTCAAATCAATCACCTAGCTTTTGCTGATGATATTATTATATTTACCTCTACAGATAGACAATCTCTTCAGCTTATTGTTAAAACTATTGAAGAGTATGAATTGATTTCTGATCAACAGGTAAATAAAGATAAAAGTTTTTTCATGGTTACTGCCAAGACTAATCAGGCTATTATTAACTCCATTAAGATTGAAACTGGCTTTGGTATACAAAACAGCCCCATTACTTATCTTGGTTGTCCTTTATATGTTGGAGGTCAAAGGATTATTTACTTTTCTGGGATTGTGGAGAAGATTATCAGGAAGATTTCTGGGTGGCATGCTAAAATCTTAAACTTTGGAGGCAAAATTACTTTAGTGAAACATGTATTACAATCTATTCCAATACATTTGTTAGCTGCTGTATCTCCTCCTAAAACTACCCTCAAATATATCAAAAATGTTATTGCTGATTTCTTTTGGGGTATGGATAAAGATGGTAAGAAATATCATTGGGCATCTTGGGAAACTTTAGCCTATCCTACTAGTGAAGGTGGTATTGGTGTTAGAAATCTTGAAGATATATGTATAGCATTTCAATATAAGCAGTGGTGGGAATTTAGGACTAAAATTTCTTTGTGGAGCAAATTTCTTAAAGCTAAATACAGTAAAAGAGCTAACCCTATAGCCAAGAAATATGATACTGGTAATTCATTGGTATGGAGATACTTCACTAGAAACAGACAAGCTGTGGAGGCTTACATTAAATGGAATATTCACTCAGGTTCTTCCAGTTTCTGGTGGGATAATTGGTTAGGAAATGAGGCTCTAGCCAATCAGGTTATTAATATATCAAGTCTCAATAACATTCATGTTTCTGATTTCCTAACTAATGGTAAATGGAATGAAAGATATGTTAGAAAACATGTTCCTCCAACTATGGTACCTGAAATTATGCAAACTAAATTCAAGTATAACACTAACATAGAGGATACTGCTATTTGGACACCTGAAGAGAATGGTAAATTTACTCTTGCTTCAGCCTGGGAGGTTATTAGAAAGAAAAAGTCTAAAGATATCATTAATAACAGTGTGTGGCATAAACATATTCCTTTCAAGATAGCCTTCTTTATTTGGAGAGCTTTGAGAGGCAAGCTTCCAACATATGATTATTTACAGAAATTTGGAAGTAATGTTATTCATTGCTATTGCTGTTATAGGAAAGGCATTGATGATATCAATCATATTTTAATCACTGGCAATTTTGCTAATCACATATGGAAATATTATGCACCTACCTTTGGCATAACACAAATCAATATTGATTTGAGAAGCTTGCTGCTACAATGGACAAATCTGTCTTCTTCTAATCAGGTACATAAATTACTCATTTCTATTTTACCTAACTTTATTTGTTGGCATTTGTGGAAGAACAGGTGTGCTGTGAAATATGGAAACAAGATATCAAGCATCCAAAGAGTTCAATATGGAATTTTCAAAGATGTCATGCAAACCATTAAGATAGTATTTCCAAATATACCATGGCAACATAGCTGGTACAGGCTGATCAACTTAGTTGAACAATGCCAACAACAGTTAAAGGTAATCATGGTTAGCTGGAAGAAACCACAAATTTGGTATTTACAAACTTAATACAGATGGGAGTGCACTTCCTGAATCTGGAAAGATTGGAGGAGGAGGCATACTAAGAGACTACACAGGTAAATTACATTATGCATTTTCAATACCATTTGGTTTTGGCACTAATAATATTGCAGAGATGGAGGCTGCTAGATATGGATTGGACTGGTGTGAGCAACATGGTTATAAAAGTATTCTATTGGAAGTAGATTCTGAAATTCTGCAAAAATGGATAAGCAACACAATTTCAATCCCTTGGAGATATCAACAAACAATAGAACACATACAAGATATTGGCAGAAAAATGGATCACTTTGAATGTCAACATGTCTATAGAGAAGTCAATGGTACTGCAGATTTATTGTCAAAATGGAGCCACAAGTTGGACATTTTACAACATTTCTATACACCTCAACAACTTATTGGTTCAATTCGAGGAAGCTATATATTAGACAAATTGGGAACACAAAATTTCAGAAGAAGAAAGACAAGAAGAATTAAGCATCCACCTTAGTCTCTCAAAGACTTATACATTATGATATTAGCAATTAGCAATTAGCTTAAATCTTTGATGTAAGTTCAAATTTATAGACTCTTCTTTTCTTCATGTAAAGGGAGTGTCTCCCTACTTTATGCATTCTAGAATTAGTTTCATTATAGTGTGCATCTTTTTGTATAAAGGTTGGGTTGACTAATCTTAGTAGATAGGTCAACCCTAAACCTTACATATCATAGAAGGTAAGGTTTATGTCCCCCTTCTTGTAAAATTTTGTTGTTAAATGGTAAGGCCTGGGGGTGTTGCTAAGCCCCTGACCCACCTCAAGGGTCGTTTAATAAAAAAAACTCTAAACCCTAAACTCTAAACCCTAAACCCTAAACCCTAAACCCTGAACCCTAAACCCTGAACCCTGAAACCCTGAACCCTGAAACCCTAAACCCTACACCCTAAACCCTAAACCCTAAACCCCATCGCTTTTTCATTTTTCAAAATTTTTCTCTCTCTAAAATTTTCTCTCTCTAAAAAATTTTTGTCTCTCTAGAATTTTTTCACGATCTGCAAGTGATTGGATTAGTTGATCGGCGAATTGAATCAGAAAATTGTGTTTGGATTGGCTGGTAATCCGGTGGATGAGCGATTTCGACCTCCAGATTCGCCTGTAGGAATGGAGGAATCGAATGTTCATTCAGCAATTAATGATATGACGGATGGATCATCGTCTAATTCTTCGCATTTGAGGGAAGAAGCGATCCAAGTCGCGACTATAGAGGCGGACATGGATGAAGTTCGTTATCCTGGTGTAATGAATCGCAATCTTGGTGGAAAGGGCGGTGACATACAAAGCGTGGACAATTTTCAAGAATTGGGAAGAGGTAAGTCACAGGGTATAGGGGCGGAGAAATTACATGAGCTTGAGGCGGCGAAATCGAGTTCGATGGAGGCGGCAAAATCGAGTTCGATGGAAGCGGCGACAGCGAGTTCTGATACAAATCGATTGGATGGCTCGCGACAAGAATCTGGTACTGGGGAATCTTCTCTAGGTCTAAATCCACATATTCAACCAAGGGGGGAAGATAGAGGAGGTCGAATAACTGATTCTAGACAAGAAACTGTAATTGTGGAATGGCAGAAAATTTTTCAAGCACAGGGACATCGCGATGGTCATCAACAGGGTAATCCTTCTATCCATTCTCAAAATCGCATTGATAATTCGAACAAGGAAATGGAAACACACCAACAACATCAACAAATTGCAAATACGACTCCAAGAATATCTGGTTCGAGAACTGCTGCTGGTTATCCTATTCAAAATATTCAAAGAGCTGGGAATTCTTCTGAATTACTTGGGAAACAGGGGAACAATCAAGGTAATCCTACTACCACTACTACCAATTCTAATGATCATGTGCAAGAAACTGGTAGGATACATATGGAGCCTGTTAGAATTCAAAACTATCATACAAATTTCCCTAAGATATCTAGCAACTTTGATCGAAATGTCAACAGGAATGTGACTGATAAGAATGATCCTCCCTTAGCCAATATGGATAAATTAGCTAAGAGAGATCAACCACAAGAACCAGCCCCTTATACTGTGATCCAAACATACGCAGATAGACTTAGATTTAATCAGTCTAAGAAGGATGCTAGCATTAAGTTGACTGAGCTTGAGATCACTACTAAACAAGGTCTTCCAGCTGTGTTATATGTTAAAGATGAAGTAGTGAAAGACTTGGCTTCGAATTGCAAGTTTACTTTGATTGGCAAGTTCATATACACCATGCCTAGAGTGGAGTTAATAAGGAAAAATTTCATTCTCCAAACTCAATTGTCTGGGGGGTTAAAATAGCTCATTTCAATTCTAGGCATGTGTACATAGACTTAGACAATGAATTAGACTATAATATGGTGTGGACCAAACAAAGGATGACTATAGCTGGACAAGTCATGAGGATTCAAGCTTGGACTCCAACATTCAAACCTGAGGAAGAAACCCCTCTAGTCTTTATTTGGATATCACTACCTGAACTGCCTTGGCACTGCTACAACAAGGAGTTTATTACCAGCTTGTTGTCTCCAATTGGTAGAGTGTTATATTTAGACTCAGCATCTATTAACAAAACCAGAGGTAGCTAGGCTAGAGTTAAAGTCCAGGTGGATTTAACAAGAGACAGACCTCCCCACATATGGATGGGATATATTGGTGAGGACATAACAGATGGGAGGTGGCAAAAAATTGAGTATGATAGCATCCCACATTACTGTTTCTATTGCAAGCATCAAGGGCACCAAGAACTTGACTGTATTATTAAGAAAAGGGATGCAGAAAATAAACAAAGAAAAGAGTTGGAGAAGAACAGGCAAGACACCACTTTCAAGAAAAATGAGGATATGCAAATTCCTAAGAATCTGGATATAGGAAGAAGGGAGGTAGACCATAACCAACAAAGGCAACAAATAAAGGAGAATCAATCCCAAAGGCTGCAAGAAGAATGGCAAACTCAAAGAAGAAGGAATAACAATCAGCAAGTCAGATTTCATATTGACAAAACTGCTGTTCCACAGCTTCAGAGTCAAACAAGTATGGTTCCTATCCCTACACAAAATACATATATTAACTTAGAATTGCAGGAAGGTACAGATGATAGAAGAGGAGTGGAAGCACAAACTGAACATATACAAAACCAAAGGCCTCAGAATATAGATGCTTCAAACAGGGCATCACAAAGCCAAGCACATAATGTAGGAATTCAAGATCATAGAGATCAAAGAAATACACAACAAAGAAGAGGCAATCAGGAGCATAGGAAGGAACAAATTGGTTATCAACAAGAGAATATAACCAGCTCAGGTATTGACTCAATGCTCCCCACCCCTGCACCCCTAAATACTGCTGATAATCCTGCTGCTATAGCTGTTGGAGGTATGGATGGAAGTGGTCAGGAGAATAGTAGTTTTGTTAATTCTAGTAGCTCTAAAGGAAAAGGTAATATGGGTGATCAGAGGTGACTTAATGATAAAGAACCCCCTGATAAATTAAATCCTAATAACCCCCCACGGACTATTACTAAAAAGAGTAATCCTAACCTGTCTAACACTGGAAATAAGCCTAGTATGCATCAAAGGGTTACCCTTGATGAATATAAGGAACCTGACTCTGAGGATGAGTATGATGCTGATACTCAATCCTTAGGGGAAGGTAGAGATCCAGGGGAGAATATAGGTACTTCTTACCAAGTTCAAAAAGGTCCTCTGTTACATACCTCTAATGTGGATGAAATTAGGGAAGTTACTGGCAAACAGGGCCTTTCTCCTAGAGGTAGAAAAATGCTGAAGCATAACAAAAATACTAGTTTTAGTAAACCTAATACTAGAGCTAGAAGTAGAGGCTTTTGATGTTTAAGTTCTTATGTTGGAATGCTAGGAGCATTAACACTTTTGGTGCTCTAGAAAGAATGATCAATTTAAGGAAAATGCATAATTTATCCATTATTGCTATTTTAGAGCCTTTTTCTAACATGTCTCATCTAGAATCTTATAGAATGCAGCTGATGATGAATTATGGTTATAGTAATCCAAATAACAAAATTTGGTTATTTTGGTCAAATGAGGTAACTTGTAGCATTTTGGAAAGTGATGATCAGCAAATTACCTGTGAAATCAATCATGAGGAGTGTTGTGAAAAGTTTATTATTACTTTTGTGTATGCTAAGTGTAAGGACCAATTGAGAAAGCCTCTGTGGGAGAGTATGCTTAAAAGGTCAAACACTAGTTATCCTTGGTGCACTATTGGGGATTTCAATGTGATATCTTCCACTCAGGAGAAACTGGGAGGTAGAGAATACAATATTAACAAAAGCCTGGAGTTTATCAGTGTTATAGAAGCTAGTGGTTTGGTGGATATAGGGTACAATGGCCAGCATTATACATGGTGTAATCACAAAAAGAATGGTGATAGAGTGTGGAAAAGATTGGATAGGGGTATGGTTAATGATATCTGGTTAGACAAAATGCCTTCAAGTAGTATTACTCATCTTCCATCAGTTGGTTCAGATCATTGTCCATTATTGTTGGAAATGAATAATACTCAGTCTACTGTTATAAAATATTTTAAGTTCCTCAATTATTGGACTGAGAATGATTCTTTCTTATCAACTGTGGAGAATTGTTGGAAAAGACAGGTTAAGGGTGAGCCTATGTGGATTTTACATACAAAGTTTAGAAGATTAACAAAAACTCTTAGGTGTTGGTCAAAAAATGAATATGGTGATGTATTTGAAAGGGTGAAACAGTATGAGGAAGTGGTTAAAAGAGCTGAAGAAGATTTGATCAAGGAGAATAGTACTGAAAATAGAGAAAAGCTTAGTGAAGCTAATGCAAATTACATTAAGTATTTGAAATTGGAACATACTATCCTCCAACAGAAAACTCAGTTACAGTGGTTGAAAGAGGGGGATGTAAATTCTAAGTATTTTCATGTTGTGATCAGAGGTAGAAGGAATAAGATGATTATTTATAAAATTATGAATGATAGTGGAGTATGGATTCAAGGTGAAGATAATGTGGCTAAGGAAGCTTGTGATTATTATCAAAACATGTTTACTGGAAAATCTGAGAAGATTAAGGAAGAGTTGTTACAAAATATTCCTGAGTTGATTACTTTAGAACAGAATTCTGATTTGGACAAATTGCCTACTGTGGAGGAGCTGAAAAATACTATAATGAGTATGAACCCCAACTCTGCCCCAGGACCTGATGGTATTGGTGGTAAGTTTTACCAAGAGTGTTTTGATATTATTCAAGAGGATATGTTGGCTGCAGTAAACTCTTTTTTCAGTGGGAATATTATGCCTAGATATATGACTCATGCTTGCCTAGTGTTGCTTCTTAAGATCAATCATCCCAATCAGCTCAAAGATTATAGACTTATGAGCCTTAGTAATTTTACTAATAAAATCATTTCCAAAATTCTAAGTACCAGGTTGGCTTCTATTTTACCTAACATTATTTCAACCAATCAGTATGGATTTGTTAAAGGAAGGAGAATTTCAGAAAATATTTTGTTGGCACAAGAGGTTATACATGGGATGAAAATGCCTAAAGAGGGTAGGAATACAGTCATCAAATTGGATATGGTCAAAGCATATGACAGAGTTTCATGGGCATATACTTGTATAGTATTAAGAAAAATGGGATTTAGTGAAATATTTATTGATAGAGCTTGGAGGATTATGAGTAATAATTGGTATTCTGTTGTTATTAATGGCAAGAGACATGGATTTTTTCATTCTACAAGGGGTCTTAAGCAAGGAGACCCTCTTTCTCCAGCTCTTTTTATTATTGGTGCTGAAGTTTTTTCAAGGAACCTTAACTTACTTTATCAGAATCAGTTATATAGAGGTTTCAGCATGGAGAAGAATGGGCCTCAAACCAATCATCTTAGTTTTGCTGATGATTGTATTATTTTTACCTCTACTGATAGAAGATCTTTAACTCTAATAATGAGGATTATTGATGATTATGAAAGAGTGTTTGATCAAAAAGTGAATAAGGATAAAAGTTTCTTTATGGTCACACGTAAGACTAGTCATGAAATTATTGAGGATATCAAGGTGGTAACTGGTTTTGGTATGAAGAACAGCCCTATAAATTACTTAGGATGCCCTTTATACATTGGTGGGCAAAGAATCATTTATTTTTCAGAGGTGGTGGAGAAGGTGATAAAGAGGATTTCAGGCTGGCAATCAAAAATTTTAAACTTTGGAGGGAAAGTAACTCTTGTAAAGCATGTACTGCAAGCTATGCCTATTCACACACTAGCTGTTATGTCTCCTCCAAAGACTACACTAAACTACATTAAAAGAGCTATTGCAGACTTCTTCTGGGGGGTGGATAAGGATGGTAAAAAGTATCACTGGGCTTCTTGGGATACTTTGGCCTATCCAACTAATGAGGGTGGTATTGGAGTGAGATTGCTAGATGATATTTGTAAAGCATTTCAGTATAAACATTGGTGGGAATTCAGAACAAAGAAATCCTTGTGGAGTCAATTTTTAAAGGCCAAGTATTGTCAAAGAGCTAATCCAGTAGCTAAAAAGTATGACACAGGTGATTCTTTGGTATGGAGGTACTTAACAAGGAATAGATCAGAAATGGAAGCATATATTAGATGGAACATTAATTCAGGAACTTCCAAATTCTGGTGGGATAACTGGCTAGGAAATGGTGCTATTGCCAATTACTGTGACAATGTTTCAAGCCTGAATAACAGGGTGTTAGCTGACTTCTTAATTGATGGTAAATGGAATGAAGGGTATCTTAGACAGAAGGTGCAACCAATTTTGATTCCTCATATTCTATAAACAAATATAAATTATCAAAATGGAGTAGAAGATACTGCTATTTGGCTACCTGCTGAAAATGGTATTTTTTCTATAGCTTCAGCATGGGAAGTTATTAGAAAGAAGAAGAGTGTTAATCCTATTAACAATATCATTTGGCATAATCAGATTCCCTTTAAGGTTGCCTTCTTTATTTGGAGAGCATTAAGGGGTAAATTGCCAACTAATGAAGGTGTACATAGATTTGGTATTGCTGCAGAAGATTGCTACTGTTGTTATCAGCAAGGAAAAGATGACATTAACCACATATTACTTACAAGAAATTTCGCCAACTACATTTGGAAATATCATGCAGCTATACTAGGTGTAACACAATTATATACAAATATCAGAAGTCAGCTCATGCATTGGAGGAATCAGCACACTATTAATGAGGTACATAAACTTATTATGCAAATTTTGCCTAACTACATTTGTTGGAATCTTTGGAAAAATAGGTGTGGTGTGAAATATGGTCATAAAACATCAAGTATCAAAAGAGTACAGTATGGTATATTTAAGGATATTATGCAGGTTATTAGACTGGTATATCCTATTATACCATGGCAGTCTAGCTTGTATCACTTGATCAAAACAGCTGAGCATTGTCATCAGCAGTATAAAATAATTATGGTAAGTTGGCAAAAACCTAAGGAAGGTATTTATAAATTAAATACTGATGGAAGTGCTATACAAGACACTGGAAAGATTGGTGGTGGAGGTATTCTTAGAGATCACACAGGTAAAATTATTTATGCTTTTTCAGTTCCTCTTGATTTTGGTACTAACAACATGGCAGAGTTAAAGGCAGCAGCTTATGGACTTGAGTGGTGTCAACAACATGGCTACAAAAGAATAGCTTTGGAGGTGGATTCATAACTACTATGAAAATGGATCAATAACACAGCTCGCACACCTTGGAGATGCCAACTACCTCTCCAGCAAATTCAGCAAATACAAAGAAAGTTGGAGTATTTTCATTGCAGACACATCTATAGAGAATCAAATAGCACAGCTGACTTGTTAGCAAAATTGAGTCACACTATGGATATCCCTCAACACTTCTACACTTCACATCAATTAATGGGAGCTATTAGAGGAAGCTATATATTGGAAAAGATGGGCATCCAGAATTTTAGGAGAAGGAAGATCAAAAGAATCAAATATCCACCATAGAAGGACTTCATGGAAGTTTTGAATTTTGTAAAACATCAAATAACATTTAAACATATCTGTGGCTTTAATAGTTTTTAGATGTGTTTTAATCTTTTTTATTAGTGTAAAGGGGAGAGTCTCCCTTATTCAAGCATATTAGGAGAGGAGTCCTCTCTAGGATTTTCTTTCTTTTATATGCATTATATTGTATGCAGGTTAAATTGACTAATCTTAGTAGAGAAGTCAATTATAACCAACAAAATTTAGAAGGTAAGGTTTATGTCCCCCTTCATGTAAATTTGATTTTATAAATGTTAAGGCCTGGGGGTGATGCTAAGCCCCTGACCCACTTCAAGGGCCGTTCAAACTAAAAAAATCCTAAACCCTAAACCCTAAACCCTAAACCCTAAACCCTAAACCCTAGGGTTTAGGGTTTAGGGTTTAGGGTTTAGGGGTTTAAGGTTTAGGGTTTAGGGTTTAGGGCTTAAGGTTCAGGGTTTAGGATTTAGGGTTTAGGGTTTTTTTTTTAGTTGAACGACCCTTGAGGTGGGTCAGGGGCTTAGCATCACCTCAGGCCTTAACATTGATAAAGCAAAAATTACAAGAAGGGGGGCAGAAACCTTACCTTCTACTAATTGGGAGGTGTGTAATTGACTTATCTACTAAGATTAGTCAATTCAACCTTTTACAATAAGATGCACATCTATGGGAATAAAATACTTAGAGAGGACTTCTCTCATAATACACATTCCTAAGAAAGCATAAACTAGGGAGACTCTCCCTTTACAATGATGAATTTGAAAGTAAACCTATTCTACTAACTAAGAGAAGTCACAGAATAAGCTTAATGACATTTGGATTACAAAACCATTATAAAATTGAAGTATAACTAAGGAGGATTTTTTTTCTCTTGAGCTTCCTTCTTCTAAAGTTTTGTGTACCCATCTTCTCCAATAAGTAACTCCCTCTAGTGGCTCCTTGAAGTTGTCTTGTAGTATAAAAGTTTTGAGGTATGTCCATCTTGTGACTCCATTTGGATAACAGATCTACAGTACAGTTTGCTTCTCTATATATGTGACAGCATTGAAAGTAATCCATTTTCCTAGTTATGTGTTGAATTTGTTGGATAATATCTACACATCTCCAAGGTATGTTGATTGTATTGTTGATCCATTTGCACAACAACTCTGAATCAACTTCCAGTTCAATACTTTTGTACCCATGTTGTTCACACCACTCCAAACCATATAATGCTACCTTTATCTCTTCAATATTGTTAGTACCAAAACCAAAAGGTAAAGAGAAAGCATATACCATTTTACCTTGATGATCCCTAAGGATTCCACCTCCTCCAATTCTACCTGAATCTTGTAAAGAACTCCCATCTGTGTTGAGTTTATAATTGCCTAGACTAGGTTTGTTCCAGCTTACCATAAATATTTTATATTGTTGATGACACTGATTTACTATGTTGATCAAGTTGCCCCAACTCGACTGCCATGGTATGCTAGGGAACACTAACTTGATAACTTGCATAATCTTGTGGTCTTAAACATGCAACGTGAAAAGTTAAAGTTAAAGTGTTGCCAAAAAAAGAAAAGGGTCATTCTTTTTTAAACAGACTAAAAAGAAAATGGGGTAATTCTTTGAAATGGAAGGAGTATATATTTGTATAACATTTCTATAGCTAGTGAGGAGGAAGATATTGTTAGACGAAAATAAAAATAAGATATATTGGCGTTTTTTCGTTTAACTATTTAAGCTTATAAGGAACCAATCAGCTCCTATTGCATTGGAGGTTTAACCGGAGAACTATAAACATCCTTAAAATAATAACAACAAAAAGACATAAAATTATAGTTAACTAATCAAGCAAAAATATTTAATATATTTAGTTATATATAATTTGAAGAGGAAAGAAGTATCGTGTTCTCAACATAACATAATTTAATTCTTCAAAATTTAAAAAGTGAATAAAAACAATCAGTGTCTTTAGAAACTACAAAAATAAGAAAAATAATCTCAAAAAACTACAAAAAGAAGCAAAAGAGAAAATGAACAAATTATTTTTTTTATAAAGAAAAGCGTAACTTACATAAATAGCTATAATTTTTGGGTTATTAGATTGAAATAACTATAAGTATCAAATTTAAAAATAATAGCTACACTTTGTGTTATAAAATGGCTATATCCATATATGTGCTGTTTTTTATAATACAAAAATATATTCTAATTAATTTTCCACTAAGTAAGGTAAATTAGTTAAAGTAACTGACAAGGCTTTTTTACATACCTTAAACCCACTAATTTGGCACTTTAAGTATATAATGACCACTACGTGTTAGGATTTTTATCAGTTTAAAAATAATAATTATGTACGTTCTTTCTTATTCAATTGACGCCTATGAAAAATACAATTCAATGGTTACCATCACAGTTTTGATCCAGCATTTCAGAAAATGGAGTAAAGATTGGCATGTAGAATATAGCATTGACAGAATAGTGTTGAAGGAATACGCTTTGTATTTTTATTTATGACGGTATGTACATTAATGAAGCTTATTTTTTTGTGAGAAAAATAATATTTCTCGTATTCAATTGATTATGTATTCATTCATTTAAGTATTTGATGTATGCATACTTTCGTATAGAATGTATAAATGAAATAAAATTTTGACTCTAGGTTGTCCCGCCAAGTGATTATAGTTATTTCGTAAGCGATGAAGGAAAGTCCTATATCATATGTTTGGGAAAGAAGACTTGCAGTTGCAACAGGTTTCAAGTTGACGGAATATTGTGCGCACATGCGTTAGGAGGGTGTTGAACAAAAAAAAACATTCTTCCACATGAATATTGTTCAGACTTCTACAAGCCAGAAATAATATTATAAACATATGAAGTGTCTGTATATCCTCTTTCAAAGTGAATGAAATATATATACCTGAACAGATTGCTACTGAAGTTGTGTTGCCATCAAAATATAAGCGACCTCCGGGAAGGCAAAAGAAGCAACGGAGAAGTCATTTCGTCAATTAAGTTAAAGGAAGAGTATGAGTTCTTGTGGTACATGTGGACAACGTGGTCACAATAGGCAGTTCATATCAAACTCCAACACGGAATACATAGAACCTGATACATCTCACTATTAAAGCGTTCTTTTACTTAATTATCATTATGCCGAATAAATGAATAAAAATTTCTTATTTGCCTTTTAAAATATGTGTTTCTCTGTTTTCTTGCTTAAATTATAAATTAACTTGAATGTTATCTACTCAATTTAATACTATTAATATGTATTGACACACTAAAACTAGTAATAATATGTGAATATAGTTATACTTGATAATATGTAGAGGAATATATAAAACATGTACTTTGATTAATATAACACACAACCTATAAAAATACGTATACACTTACATATTACTTTGGTGTATAATAAAGACCACTTTAAAAACAAATAATAATATAATTACTATCAACATTTACCGTATGTTTATCATTATTAAAAATGTAAGTATTCAAATTTCTTTAAGTAATAATTGACAACATATGAATATGATAATACTTTCGTATATTTTGATATGAAAAAAACTCTAGCATACATTCATACTATTGAATATGTTGATAAGAAAATACATACAGCTAAACAAATTAATTACCAAAAATAGATATCCAAGTGTATATGTTCTCATATTAACTGTACATTTATACATACATGCATCCATCTCTTCCTACCATTATATGCAATATTCCCAACAAAAAATTTAACAAAGTAGCTATCAAAACAGTAAAGCAAACATGATCATATATAAATAGAACATAGCACTTGTTTTCTTATTGATTCACGGGGTGGTGGCATTCTTGAATGAAGTCTATCCAAACCGAATTAGCACTTCTCAGATCAGTCTAGGCCTCTCCAGCTGAGCTGATAAAATTTGACAAAAAAATAATAATATTAGTTTTAACCATAAGATAAAAGTTCAAAACTAAATAGGTCAAGAAACTAATCGATCCTAACAAGTTGACTATTATCGATTCTTGTGGGTGGCCTGATTATTGTGGTGTCTCATTCTTGCTAACAACCCTTTTTTTCATCCTCTTCGTTGCATATTCTCATAATAGTGTGTCGTATCTGATGTAGTGTAACTTAGAATCAAGGTATTGAGCTGGAATACCTTCACCCTAACTTAGGTACTCTACAAATGCTAGCAAATATATCCCACAATCCCTGATAGGAAAATACATTACTTAGTAAATAGGATACTATTTTTTTAAAAAGTATATTAAGAGAACGACAACATTTGCACCAGTCATCTTCAGAAAACAAAGTGACAACATAACTCTAAATACATTAGAAAGTATTCAAAAATGTAAAGATATTCAGATACAGTAAAAGGTATTCAAAGTGTAACGGTATGTCACGCTGTAAATATTCAGTGGTTATTCATATGCCACGTTATATTAATTTTGAAGGTACATCCTCCACAGTCCACATAAACTTACTTGTTTAACTTACACTACATTCATATGACTACACCTTACTACAATCATCTTCAGAAAATAGAATGACAATATAACTCTAAATATACTAGAAGGTATTTAGTGGTTACACATATGCCACGTTATATTAATTTTGAAGGTATATCCTCCACATAAACTTACTTGTTCAACTTACACTACATTCATATGACTACACCTTACTACAATCATCTTCAGAAAAC